AAAAAAAAAAAAAAAAAAAAAAAAAAAGTAATAGGATTAAGACAGGTCCTACATCTACCCCCGCTAGATTCAATGTTTATTCAAAACAATTAAAATAAATATCAATAGAATATGTAATACAATAGACAAACAACATCCTGTGGGTTTAACAATACCTGCTTCTGGTCCCTGGAACCACAACTGCACCACTTTCTTCATTTTTTCTCTGTAAAAATGTTGCAAATTTATTTCTTCTCGTTGGTGGTGCGCTTACGCTTTTTTTAGTAGGAGTTCCATCCACCAGGTCAGGCAGGAGCTTTTCGGAAGAGTTCAATGATTTATTACCTTCACAGCTATTTTTCTTGATCTTCTTTGTAAATGAAAGAGAATACTGACTCAACAGATCATCTTCTGACAGCTCTTCTAAATAAAAACAAAATCATCTGTAAATCTTTGTTTCACGCGTAGCTCGAGATCTGGACTTAACTTTGCAGTCCATGTCCCATTGTCCTAAAGATGAAGTCTTATGTTTTTTAAACTACGCATCACACTAAAGGAAATAAAAGGATGACTCAAAAAAAAAAAATTCCCTTAGCTGTGTTTTACAATTTCACAAGTTAGCTAAGATTTAATGTCAATTATTTGTACAATTTTAATGTGAAATTACACAAACCAAAATTTCAAGACATAATCAATTTTGTAAGGCTACACGCTTATTATAGTAAGGACCCAATGTTGAATGTAAAGAAAAAATTTAAGGCAATTTACATGTAAATGTATGTTAAATTTAATGCCTGATTTAAAAATATTCCAATAAAACCAGCAGCTGTTTATACACACCATCTACATCTTACAGTTTTTGAGGTATATGTGACTGTCATGTAGTCAAAAGTAGTCTGTGCTCTAGCTCTGATCCTGGTTACTAGCTATGGGCCCTAGAAGATGGCTGTGTGGCAAACGTATTCTATGGTATTAGAATAAATCCTAAGACTAAATAATACAAAGGGTTAAAGCCTGAGCTAGGCAAGGACACAGAGAGTGCACTAAGATGCTTTAAGTTGCTCTAATTCTCAGTCTGAACAGCTTCCACTCACATAGGAGTAAATGCTCACTGGTCCAAGAAGTTGGTAAAACGGCTGTGGGTACTAAAATACTAGAGACAAGACACCTCAAATTTAAAAATCCACAGATTTTTAAAAAGCTACAGATCAGTGAACTTGATTTTGATCCCTGGCAAAAGCTTGAATCTGTTTATCATGCAGGGAATTGTGAGCCCTTACAGATGAGGAAAAAATATTGTAGGATCTCCAGCAAGGCTTCACCAAGAAGCCAAGCCAGGCTAACCTCATTTTCTTTTTGTGATGAGGCTGTTAGATAGATTTAGCATATCTTGAACTGAGCAAGACACTTCGATGTCTCTCATGTTATCCTAGTGGACAACGTAGAGCAAAGCTTATTATATATTAGTCATCTGCATTTGCATCAGGTTGAACAGCCCTAAAAGACTACTAGTCTGAAGGAGGTCTGTCTCTAGTAGAGTGCTCTAGATTTCCAGACTTGCTCTGATTCAGTTAAACATTACATTTTAAGCATTAAAAGCAAACACATTTTAACCCAAACTTTAAGACAGTGGGAGCGATACTTCTCAAATTTCCAGGTGACATAGATAATATCTGTGCATTAGAAGACATTACAAAGATTCGAGAAAGAAAATATTTAATAGGCAGAACAATGGATCATAACGAATTAAGAATGTCTCAATAGGAATAATTTAATCCATATTTAAGTTTAAAAATACAACTGTACCTGGCTTAATGGAAACTGTTGGATTTTGATTATAAATTCAGTAAATGCCAGCAAAATGTCAAGAATGCTAATAAAAGCTAATGCTATCTTAGTTTGCAATAATAAGAGCAGTCTCTGGATGAAGAACTGAAATAGTGCCACGTTTCTAAATATTTACTGTGCTCTATGGTAAGCAGATCATATCTCAACAACCACTCACTGTCACAGTTAGACAATTATTAAAAGACTGTACTGTATCAGTAGCACAACCTGGATAGATAGGGAACTTCTAGCTTGGAAAAGAAGTTTAGGAGGGTCACAGTGGCTGTCACTAAATATATGAAGGGCTGTCACATAAAAGAGGGAAGAAACTTACTGTTTTTTTTTGTGCTTGTGTTTCTGTGTGTGCCCAGGGGACAAAATCCAGATAAGCGGTATTTAAGCAGACTTAGTCTGACATAAGGAACTTACTGATAATGAGCTCTCTACATAAAATGAATAGCCTATCTTGAGGTAGCAGAAGGGAAGGAACTAATATGTATAGTGTACTTGCTATGTACCAAGGGCTATCATGTTACACAACATATACAAAAAATTGTGAAATATGCAACACTGTTCTCACTTCAGAAGAGGAAACGAAGGTTCAGAGATATTACCATGAAAAAGATTTATGTTCATAAGGAATCAGGACATTTTGGCCAAATATGAATAATCTATACCTCAATTTAAAAAATAAAAGCGTGAACTAAAAGTTTGCAAAGGCTTTGTTTTGTTTTGTTGTTAGACTTGCATTCATTCGTGTAGATGTCTGAGAGAAAGAACCAAGAAGGAATAGATCACAATTATTCTTTCCACTTCTACACATGTGCTATGGTGAAAAAACCCTTTTCCCAATACGTAGTATTCCACTCTCAGCACTTATGCTCAGCATTGTAGTGGAGGTTCCAGGAGGCAAGAAAAAGAAATAAAAGGCATCCAGACTGGAAAAGGAGAAGCAAGCCTGTCTTTACTTGCAGGTGATATGATCATCTATCTAGAAAACCCTACAGGGTCTACAAAAGAGATACTAGAACTAATATGTGAATTTAGTAAGGTTGCTGAATATAAGATTAATATACAAAATCACCTATATTTCTATTTACTAGCAATGAACAACCAGAAATAAAAATTAACAATATCATTTACAATAGCATCAAAAATCTGATATATTGGGGTAAATTTGACCGTAGATGTGCAAGATCTGTACAATGAAAACTACAAAGCATTGCTGCAGACTTAAGTTGAATGCTTAAATAAACGCATCAGAAAACTCCATATTGTTGTCAGTTCTCCCCAAACTGATCCATAGATTCAACCAAATCCCAATCAAAATCTCAGCAGGATTTTTTTCTTTTAGAAACTGACAAGTTGATTCTAAAATTTGTATGCAAACGTGAAGAACACAGAATAGCCGAAACAACTTTTCAAAAGAAGAACAAACTTAGGGGACTTATACCACTTGATTTCAAGATTTACTATAAAGCTACAGTCACCAAGACAGTGTGTCTGGCATACAGACAGGAAAAGGAACCAATGGTACAGAATAATAGAGTCCAGAAACAGACCCACACATATATAGTCAACTGATCGTCAACAAATGCGCCAAGGCAATCCAATGAGGAAAGGACAATCTTTTTAACAAATAGTGCCGGAACAACTGGATTGTCACAGACAAAAAAGTGAACCTTGATCCTGACCTCACATTGTATAAAAATTAATTCAAAATGGATCAAAGGCCTAAATGTAAGAGCCAAAACTATAAAACTTCTAGAAGAAAATAAGAGAAAAATCTTAGTGACCTTGGGTTTAGCAAAGACTTCTTAAATGTGACCAATGCTCACTAGTAGTTCACAAAAACAAAATACATACCACTTCTTGGTCTTTTCACAGTGGATGACTTCCTCAGAAGATTTAACCCTTTAGTACTAATCACTTGCTCGACGCCCACAGTACTTGGATTTTCCTTCAATCTTGCAGCGTCTGAAACAACATCCAGCTCACGTCTAGGGCAATAATTCCTATGCCAAATGCTATTAACATTAGATGACTTTGGACACGTTTTATCGTTCCAGCTATGACTTCTTAACTGGGTGGGCTAAAATGGTAAAAGGAAAAAGGTTACTTGAAGAAGAAAAATAGACAAATCATTTCCTTCTGTATCAACATAAACTATTTACACCTTTGAACAGCTTTTGATGAAATATCTGTCCTCTAATAACATTTCCTACTTTGCTGGTCCTACACTTTTCCATTAAATGCTTCTTGTATTCGTAGATCTGTTTCTCTTCTAATGAGGGTCAAGTGACCTCATTAGCTCATTTCTAAGAAATAAAAAAATGAATCTTCCTAAGATGCACAGTGCAAGAAATGAAACTGCACTTGAAGAAATGTGGCCGGAAAAAATGTACTTTTAAAATCTGAGTTTTATTTCAATGCACAATATTAATTAGTTTAGTCACTGCCTGGCAATAAGCCTCTAAATAATCATTTACATACCCTTTACAAAGCACCTGAAAGTTAAAAACATAAAATCATGTATTTAGTGGCCGGTGCAGTGGTATAGTGGTAAGTTCACATGCTCCACTTCGGTGGCCGGGGGTTCGTGGGTTCAGATCCCAGGCATGGACCTACACACACTCATCAAGCCATGCTGTGGCAGCATCCCACATACAAAATGGAGGATGACTGGCACAGATGTTAGCTCAGTGACAATCTTCCTCAAGCAAAAAGAGGAAGACTGGCAACAGATGCTAGCTCAGGGCCAATATTCCTCAACAACAACAACAACAAAAAATCTTGTCTTTAAAGTAATCAACTATTCCACCTCTAGAAACTGGTTGAGTTCAAACCAAAACAATCTAATCTGCAAAACACTATAGACCTGTACTTGGTACTATCTTCAGCGGACAACACAGAGAAACAAAAAGCTACTTTGGTCTACACTGAGTCTTGCATAAAACTTTCTCTGAGAAAGGACTTACAGCCAGTTAAGTATTGGTAAGCAATCTTTTTTAATGCTAATATAAGTTATTCACAATTAATAACTAAATATATTTTATATGACAATGGTCTGCTAAGAGGATGCCAATGATACTTTAATAGAGCAGGAGAGGCAAAGGGAAAAGCTAACAAAGGTACAAAAAATGTTGGTACCTAGGGCATGAATTCCTCCTGACAAAAATCCCACCTGAACTTGGAATCTAATCTAAGTCTTTCACTTAAAGAAAGGATAAAAACAAAAATAAATAAAACAAGGTGACATTATCCAGCATACACTTTGAGAATAATTGAGGGAATGCATATAAAAAAACAGATTAGCAGTATAGTTCATGGCATTAGATTCCACTGATGATTTTAATGAAAAAAGAGAAATAGGAAAGTAGAAAATCATACTGGGAAGAATTGATTTTAGATAAATAAAAAGAACTAATTAGTTTGATGTACAGTTAATGGATCCTAGAGAAATTTCTCTATGAAAAAAAGGAAGATCTGATCAGGATTTAGGTTTATAAAGGAAGGCCATCTTAGAGAGCTATAACATTCTCATTTAGATCTGGACATATTCAATACAACCAACTATTTTTGAGTTTCTGAGACAAAGAAAAAACTTAAGAATCATTCCTGATGAAATCATAATATTAGTAATAATTCAAATGTGGAAAGAGGATAGCCGAGTAAACACTGAAGTCCCCTTCTTTCAGTAATCATCCCCCAAAACAACAAGAGCAAGAAACAAACACCAACTCCATCTGCAATAAAATTAGGATATATCTGTAACTTCTAAACCACAGTGAAGACAAGAGCATAGACAGAAGGATTGAAAGAAGTTGGCAGAAGAGAGATCAAACCCAAGTGTCTGCAGAAAAGAATACCAATGAGGAGTCAATTCCACGTATAGAAACCTGGAGAAAGGCTCAGGAATTTAAGGAACCAGGTACCATGGAGGCCGCAAACATGGGGAGGGAAGAAAAAAGGATTATTTGACCCCTGGGCCCTCATCTTCAACCTGACCATACAGTCAATTCACACCCATCTGCCTTCAGAACAAGAGCAACTGGACATTTGAAATAAACCCAGAAACAGTGACACAGAAACAGTAGGCACTGCAGAAGGTGGGAAGAGCCATCTCCCTCAAGACAGAGACCAAATGAAAGGCTAAATTCAGAATAGCAGGAAACTGCCCTACCCCTTCAGGCCCACCCCAACTCACCTTCCCTATCCTGCTCTCAAAATGCAAACAGCCACGTTATATACACTGAGTAGAAACTGGAGGATCCCTTTATGGAAAAACGGAACCGTACAGAGAAAATACGCTGACATCTGGAATTCACAAAACAAAGCCGGCTTGTTGCCAACCAGATCACCTGGGGGTAAAGCCCAAGACTGTGAGCCCCATTCATTCACACGAAGCTTCCAACGAGCTTCTCAGGGCCTCTCTCGAACAGGAACAAATAGACAAGAAGCTCCAGATGCTTGAAGAAAGACTGCACCACGAAAGAGAAAAGGCCAACACAGAAAAAAATCAATTAATTCAGAGCAAACAGAGATAATGCAGGGGGCAGAAGAAAATGTCCAAGAAATTATAATTAATATTGTGAGAGAGAGAGAGATAAGAGATTACATCTATGAAACAAAATCTTTAAAATAAGTACAATTAAAGAAAGAACCCTTAGGGGCTGGCCCGCTGGCATAGTGGTTAAGTGCACGTGCTTCACTTCAGCGGCCCGGGGTTCGCAGGTTCAGATCCTGGGTGCACACCAACCCACCGCCTGTCAAGCCGTGCTGAAGAGGCATCTCATATAAAGCAGAGGAAGATGGGCACACATGTTAGCCCAGGGCCAATCTTCCTCAGCAAAAAAAGAGGATTGGCAATGGATGTTAGCTCAGGGCTGGTCTTCCTCACAAAAAAAAAAAGAAAGAAAGAACCATTAGATACGAAAACGATAATAAAAAAAAATTCAACGGAATATCTGCAATGCTAGATATGTTCCATGCTGTCCAATATGGTAGCCACAAAGCACTCGAAAGGTGGCCAATGCAACCGAAGAACTAGAAATTACCTTTTATTTAATGTTAATTAATTTAAATAACCACATGTGGCTAGCGGCTACCATACTGGATAGTGCAAAGTTGAAAGACAAAATAAAAAAAAAAAATTTCCCAGAGAGAACAAAAGACAAAGAAAGGACTAAGGTAGAAAAGTTCCAAAATTTGAAGATCAGGAAATGCAACATCAATTAAAAGAAGTTCCAGAAACAGAGAACAGGGAAAACAGACAAGAGGAAATAGCAACCTGAGTGTAAGGTTTACATAATTCGAGTTGATGAACATCAAGTTCTTGTTTAGTGTCATTATAGATGTGGGTTCTTGTGGTAGGCTTGGTTTATTTCAGCCAACAGTACCGATTTCTTTCAGTGCCCAACTGGTCACCAGTTTGTCAGTGGCCACGTTCTCCAGGCTCACCTCTTTTTCCTTCTCAAGGCGCCCTGGTTCCTTTGTCTGGTAAACACTGAGACATTCTTGGTCTAGCCATAATAAACCACAGAGTTCCCTTAACATGTTATCCCCCTACCTATGCCTGCAATCACTCATCTTTGCAAACCTAGATGCATATCAGTTTCTCTCTAAGGAGACAGCAGAAAATCATAGCTTGGAATCATAGCTCCCCTATTTATTAAATGTGTGACCTGGGCAAATTACCTAACCTCCCTCTAATTGTTTCCTCATCTGTAAAATGGGCATAATAGTAGTCACCTCAGAGGCTTGTTGAAGAGTAAATGAGTTACTATGTATAAAGTGCTCAGAATAACACTTAAAACATAGAAAATGCTCAATAAATGTTTGCTATTATTATTACAAAGCATTCTCTCCTTAGGTGGAGTTGGGTGCATGCCCTTTGTTTCCATGGAACCTAAAATACATCTCTATTACAGCACTTACAACATTTCTATGTATATAACTAATCTCCTTCCCCTAGGCAATCAGTAATTTACAAGCAAGGATTATATTTTATTTTTCCTTATATTCCAGAACACTAGCTCATCTAACTATGTTTGTTATATTGCTTAATAAATGCTTAGTCAAGGACTGAATTAGTGAGCAAGAATTAAAGGACCTGGATTAGACTGGAAGCTAATGAGAAAGAAGAAACTATCAGCCAGAAAAACAACTAAAAGAAGCAAAAGGACTTAGCTATGAAAGAGAAGCGAAAGTTTATTTCCAAGTTTTCTAGTCTGAGAGAATGAAAGATATCATGTAACTGACATTTATTCATTCAACAAATAAACATGGTAAACATAATACAGCAGTGAAGATCATAAAAATCCTGCCTCTATGACTACATTCTATTGGGAAGAATCAGAAAATAAACAACAGAGACATAATTTATGCAGTAATAAGTGCTAAAAAGAAAAAAGGGAAATGTTATTAAGAAAAGTCGATAAGGAATGAAGAGTTCGCTCTTGACTGTGGATGGATTTAATGTTATAGGAAATCATTAATGAAGAGATCCGAGAGACATTTAGAATTACGTGGCTGGGGCACAGAACAGAGATTGGGTTAAAGATGTGCGACTTCTCTGCATAAACGAGATAATTAGAGTCATAAGAACTTATTTAAGGAATAAATAAGAACAGAGAAGAGAACAGAGTCTGAATGAAAATATGAACAGAACGGAGAGCACGGTGGGAGAGGGCCATGAGATATACAATTGTAAGAAGCAGAGGAAAACGGGAAATGGCTCCAAGATCCACAGCTCAAGAAATATTTGCTAAATCATGAATGAGTGAAAAGACAGCTTTTACTCCCAAGGGTAGTGTTTCTAGGTTTGGGTCTTCAACAAAGTCAAATGCCAGAGACTGAAAGCAGTGAGATGAGAAAAAAGGCATCAAATGCTTGGTATATTCAAACGAAACATTCAAGTCTAAAGGTTTGATAATATATAATGTGGCCACTTCTTAATTTAAGGAAATAAACCACCATACCTACCTATGTTCTAAGAGAGATAATTTCTCTAGCATCAAGTTGTTTTCAATGGACACTCTTCACAATGCCCGGATACAGAAATGCTTAAAAGACGTTTACTAAATAAAGATTTGCCTTCAGTCACAGTTCCTGAGACATAACTAAAATGTGCGCTTTCAGAAAGAAGTCATTAGAATGTTACCGTAGCAGCGTCTGGATTGTAGTTATCGATCTGTTCAAAGGTATTTATATCTTTATTTCCAAGTGCTATCTGAAGAGCTATAGAATCATCCACATACCTAGGTTGGTGAGATTAAGGAAGAATGCTTTTTTATTAACAACCGAACAAACGATACCGTATTAAGATAGAAAAGTGTTTTCTATCGTCACAGAAAATCTTCAGGTTTATGAGTTCAGTGGATCCCACTTACTCTCTACATTCAGCACTACTGAAACCACAGGCAGAGTTTACTAGTCTCTGCTCGTCACTGCAGGAGTTGGCTGTTTTCTGAAGCAAAGCCCCAAGTCACCACTTACACCCTTCAAGGGGGATGGAGAGAAAAGTCCCGGCCATTCCCCCAGGGGGCTCAGGGCTCTGCATCACCTGAGTGTGTGTGGCCAGTGGCGGTGGAAGGGCACTCTCAACCGGCCTACTCACACGCCCAGAATGCTCCTCCTAACAAAACGAGCTTGCCCGCCACAAGCGTTCTCTTAGGCGCTGCCCTTGGAATACGTCCCCTAAGTGACTCTGTACGTGTTTCTCTCCATCAGCCTCAGTGATGAGCAAGTTATAACAGATGAGCCTCAGGATGACAAACAAAAGGCTACTCTAAATTTTCACCAGATTGTCATCAAAATTAACACAAATAAAGATTTCACTATAAAAAAGAAAGCGAAAAAGAATTTGCAAGCTTTTTACTGAATGTCTTGCTAAAAATATCACCATAAGAATATGGAGGAATTGCAAGATTCTAGCATTCTGGTTCAGAAAGGATACCGCCCAGCGTAGCTTAGCGTTTCAGGATCAACGTCATCTTCATAGGCATTCAGAGGGATGAGTTTCCTTTGGATGGGATCAAAAACGAGCTGATAAAGGAAGGTATTGTTGGCTCGAATAAACCCTTCGATGTAATCTTCTGGTACGGTTATATTCATCTTGAGATAATGTCCCATTTTCTTGATAACCTAATAATGGATATAAAAATATTTACAAGTTTATCTGCAAAAGAAGAACAGGGAACGTATTATCCCCAAGACCAGAGGGTTTACGTTAGAGAAGGATGAGGAAGGGAAGAAAAATTAATTGCTTTTATCTACATTAAAAAACTGTACCAGCAAACACAACCATGTCATATCACTTAAAATTCTAAGTCTCCCTAACAGTATTTTCTTTGGTTTTTCTATTATTAATGGAAAGAATGAAAAATTCAGTTACAGATCAAGTTTGTATTCCTAGGCATAACTTTTAAGATACATTCTTCACCCTCAAAGTCCCTTTCATCTAGAAAGCAAAAAAAACACACACAAAACCTGAGAATTAAAAAAACCCAAATATTCTTAGATCATATTTTTAAAACAAAGTCGACATTCTTACTTTTGTTAGAGTCATGGATGATTAAGAAAGGGTTTTAAGGGGCCAGCCTGGTGGCACAGTGGTTAAGTGCCCACGCTCCGCTTTGGCGACCTGAGGGTTTGCAGGTTCAGATCCCAGGCACATACTGACGCACCGCTTGTCAAGCCATGCTGTGGTGGCATCCCATATAAAGTAGAGGAAGATGGGCAGGGATGTTAGCCCACGGCCAATCTTCCTCAGCAAAAAGAGGAGGATTAGCATGGATGTTAGCTCAGGGCTGATCCTCCTCACAAAAAAAAAAAAAAAATAAGAGGTATTAAATATCTTATATCAAACTCATAGACAAAGGAGGGAAGACCCGGAGAACTGAGGGATCCTGAGTCACAGGCTGGTTAAGGCATGTTGCTCTATCCCCAGCTCGGCCACTCTCCACCAGTCCAGAGATTTTTCCATTACACTATACCACCCCTAGTCCTGAGGGAGGGCTCACATGTTGTACTCCTGGAAACAGAAAATGAAAATTCTGTTCTGCAAATTCTAAGGGCTCTGAGAACTATCCAAGGGGGAAAAATGAGCTTCTTTAATGTACACTTGTTTGTTTAAGGTAAAGACATCAATTACAGAGCAGGGAGGTACGGTGTCCTCAGTTTTCTGGAGGATACGAGACACATGATTCTGGATCAGACTGTGTGAGAAGGCAGACACCTCTATGAAGCCACATCAAAGAGATTTCCATAAATGTGCAATTCCTCTCACAATTTTCATTTGTTGTAGAAGACATGGCTATTTTTCACAAAAATATGCTACTTATGTTAACATGCAATGAATTGATTATTGTTATTTTTAAGTGAATTAATAAGCATTTAAATTTTTGTTTAAATTTCTGATTTGGTAAATATCAACAGCTATAACCCATATAAACAAAGTTACTGCCACAAACAGCTCTGAAGAGTGTAAAGGCATCCTGAGACAAAAAAGTCTGACAACCACGACTGTAGAGAAATAAGACAGAAATCAAAAGTTTGTACATTTCAACATTAATTCTACCCTAGAATATTTTGGCCTTAAGTCTCTTTATATTGGTCTTCATTTTAAAAATTACTGCTCCTTTGAGAGAGGGGTTCAAGATGGTGGTGTAGGAAGATCCTGAACCTCCCCCCACAAAAAAACAAATCTGCAACTACGTGTGGAATAATTTCCTCTGAAAGAGACCTGAGAACTGGATGAACAAAGTCTCACAACAGAAGATAAAAGGATAGCATGGAGACAAATATGAGAGGCAGAGATATGGTCCTGCCAAAATAAAAAACAACCCACTCCAGGTGGGTGATCCACAATCAGAAGGGATCTCAAAAATACAGAACTTTTCCCAGAGGAGTCAGGGGTTTCTGCTCCACATCAGGCACGCCAACCCTTACATCATGCACTGAAGAAACGAGCCCCCAAAATGCCTGGCTTTGAAAACCAATGGGGATCACATCCAGTAAACCACAGAACTGTAGAGAATGCAGAACCTCCTCTTAAAGGGCTCGTGTGCAGACTCACTCACCCCAGGACCCAGCACAAAACACCACTTTGAAAAGCGCCTAGACCATGTGTGAAGGATGGACCCACTTACTAATCTCAAAGTGTCTGTTGGAGAGGCAGGAAACTGTTGGGACTCAATCTGGGGATGGAGACACTGGCAGGCATCTGGCTATTACTGGTGCTGGCAGGCACCATTTTGGAACTCTCCTTTTAACCTGCTAAAGCTGGTGGGAGTCACCCTCTGGGAGCCCCACCCACCTCTGCTGCAGCCACAGCCCAGCCACAGCAGGCAGGCGCATGCAACATGCAGGGGACGTTCTTTGAGCTCCTAGATATGATGGCCAGGGGGGATTGTGCTTCTGGGGCCCACATGATGTCTCCTACATAAGGCTGCTCCTTCAGGAACAGGAGAGGTAGCTGATTGGCCTAATTCATAGAAACAAACAGAGAGAGTCAGGTAATATGAGAAGACAAAGGAATATGCTCCAAACAAAAGAACAAGACAAAACCTCAGAAAAAGACATTAATGAAATGAAGATAAGCAATATAGGTGATAAAGAGGACAAAGTAATGGTCATAAAGATGCTCACTGAACATGGGAGAAAATGAATGAGAACAGTGAGATCTTCAAAAAAGAATAGAAAACATAAGAAAGTTCCAAACAGAAATTTCTGAACTAAAGAATACAAGAACTGAACTGAAAAATACACCAGAGGGGTTCAACAGCAGACTGGATGAAGCAGAACGGATCAGCGAGCTGGAAGACAAAGCAATGGAACTCACCCAGTCAGAGCAGCAAAAAGAAAAAATAATTAAAAAAAAGTAAAGATACCTTAAGAGACCTTTGGGACAACATCAAGCAGAATAACATTCACATTATAGGAGATAGTGAAGATGAAGGGAGAAAGAAAGGGTCAGAAAACTCATTGAAGAAATAATGGCTGAAAAATTCCCTAATCTGGAGAAGTAAACAGACGTCCAGATCCAGGAAGCCCAGAGTTCCAAATAAGATGAACCCAAAGAGACCCACACCAAGACACATTATAATTAAAATGATAAAAGTTAAAGGGAGAATAATAATAAAGGGAGAATCTTAAAAGCAGCAAGAGAGAAACAACTTGTTACATACAAGGGAAACTGATAAGGCTATCGGCAGATTTTTCAGCAGAAACTTTGCAGTCCAGAAGAGAGTGGCATGACATATCCAAAGTATTAAAAGGAAGAAACTTCCAGCCAAGAATGCTCTACCAGGCAAGGTTATAATTAAGAACTGAAGGACAGAGATTAAGAGTTTTTCAGATAAGCAGAAGCTAAAGGAGTTCATCACCACTAAACCAGCCCTATAAGAAATGTTAAAAGGACTCTGAATTGAAAAGAAAGGGCACTAAATAGTAAAAACAAAACATATGAAGGTATAAATCTCACTGGAAAAGGTAAATATACAGTAAAGGTAGTGGATCAATCACTTATAAAGCAAGTATGAAGGTTAAAAGATAAAAGGAGTAAAACTAACTAAAACTACAATAATTAGTTAAGGGATGCATAAAATAAGATTTAAAAGATGACACCAAAAATATAAAACGTGGACAGAGGAGTAAAATGTAAAGTTTTGGAATGTGTTCAAATTTAAGTTGGCATCAACTTAAAATAGATCATTATATACATAGATGTTATATGTGAACCTCATGGTAACCCAAAAGCAAAAATTTATAGTAAATACACACACAAAAAATGAGAAAGGAATCTAAACAAGAAAGCCATCAAACCACAAGGAAAGAAAGAACGAGAAGAAGAAAAGAACCGTGAGGAACTATGAAAACAGCCAGAAAACAATTAACAAAATAGCAATAAGTACATATCTATCAATAATTACTTTAAATGTAAATGGACTAAATTCTCCAATCAAAAGACAAAGGGTGGCTGAATGGATAAAAACATAAGACCCACCTATAACTTGCCTACAAAACACTCACTTCAGAAGTAAGGACACACACACATTCTATGCAATGGAAACCAAAAGAAAGCTGGAGTAGCTATACTTATATCAGACAAAACAGACTTTAAAACAAAGACTGTAATCAAAGACAAAGAAGGGCATTAAATAATAATAAAGGGGTCAATCCAGCAAGAAGATATAACATTTAAAAATATATATTCACCCAATATAGAAGTACCAAAATATATAAAGTAAATATTAATGGACCTAAAGGGAGAAATTGGAAGCAATACAATAATAGTAAAGGACTTTAACAGTCAACTTACATCGATTGATCATCCAGAAGGAAAATCAATAAGGAAACATAGATCTTAAACAACACATTAGATCAGATGGAATTAACAGATGTATATATAGAACATTTCAGCCAAAAGCAGCAGAACACACATTCTTCTCAAATGCACATGAAACGCTCTCTAGGATAGATCACATGTTAGGCCACAAAACAAGTCTCAGTAAATTCAGGAAGACTGAAATCATATCAAGTATCTTCTCCAACTACACTGGTATGAAACGAGAACTAAATTACAAAAAGAAAACTAGGAAAACCACAAAAATGTGGAGATTAAACAACATGCTACTGAATAACAAATGGGTCATGGAAGAAATCAAAGAAGAAATCAAAAAAATACCTAGAGCCAAATGAAAACAGAAATGTGACATACCACAATCTACGGGATGCAGCAAAAGCAGCTCCAAGAGAGAAATTCATAGCAATACAGCCCTACCTCAAGAAACAAGAATCTCAAACAATCTAGCTTAACAGCTACGAACTAGAAAAAGAAGAACAAATGAAGACCAAAGCTAGTATAAGAAAGGAAATAATAAAGATCAGAGCAGAAATAAATGAAATAGAGACTAAAAAGACAATAGAAAAGATCAACGAAACTAAGAGCTGTTCTTTGAAAAGATAAGCAAAATTGACAAACCTTTAGCTAGACTAACCAAGAAAAAAAGAGAGGATCAAATAAACAAAATCAGAAATGAAAAAGGAGAAGTTACAACTGATACCACAGAAATACAAAGGATCATAAGAGACTACTACAAACGATTATACACCAACAAATTGTACTACCTAGAAAAAATGGATAAATGCCTTGGAACACATAATCTTCCAGGACTAAATCATGAAGAAATAGAAGATCTGAATATACTAATTACTAAGTAAGGAGCTTAAATCAGTAATCAAAAATCTCCCAACAAACAAAAGCCCAGGACCAGACAGCTTCACTAGTGAATTCCACCGAATATTCAAAGAAGATTTAATACCTATCCTGCTCAAGCTCTTGCAAAAAATTGAAGAGGGAAGGCTTTTCAAAAACTCATTTTATGAGGCCAGCATTACTCTGATACCAAAACCAGACAAGGACACCACAAAAAAAGAAAATTACACACCAACATCCGTCATAAACATAGATGCAAAAATCCTCAACAAATAGTAGTAAACACAATTCAACAATACATTAAAAGGATCACACACCATGATCACGTGGGATTTATTCCAGGGAAGCAGGATGGTTCAACCACCACAAATCAATCAGTGTGATATACCACATCAACAAAATGAAGGATAAAAATCATACGATCATCTCAATACATGCAGGAAAAGGTTTTGACAAAATTCAACTTCTGTTGATCATAAAAACTCTCACCAAAGTGGTCATAGAGGGAACATACCTCAACATAATAAAGGCCATATATGACAAACCTACAGCTAATATCATACTGAACGGTGAAAAGCTGAAAGCTCTTCCTCTGAGATCAGGAGCAAAAACAAGGATGCCCACTCTCGTCAATTTTATTCAACACAGTATTGGAAGTGCTAGACACAGCTATTAGGCAAGACAAAGAAATAAAAGGTATCCATGTTGGAAAGGAAGAAGTAAAACTGTCATTATTTGCAGATGACATACTATATATAGAAAACCCTCAAGACTCCACCAAGAAACTGTTAGAACTAATAAATGAATCCTGTAAAACTGCAGGATACAAAATGAATATATAGAAATCTGTGGCACTTCTATACACTAATAACAAACTATCAGAAAAAGAAATTGATAAAATAATCCCACTTACAATTGCATCAAAAAGAATAAAATACCTATGAATAAACTTAACCAAGGAGGTGAAAGACCTCTGTACTGAAAATTAGAAAACACTGAAGAAAGAAATTGAAGATGCAAATAAATGGACAGATATACTGTCCTCACGGATTGGAAGAATATTGTTAAAATGTCCATACTACCCAAAGAAATCTACAGATTCAATGCCATCCCCATCAAAAGTCCAATGGCATTTGCCATGGAACTAAAACAAATAATTCTAAAATTTATATGGAACCACAAAAGATCCTGAACAGTCAAAGCAATCTTGAGAAAGAAGAACGAAGTTGGAGGTATCACACTCCCTGATTTCAAACTAAACTACAAAGCTACAGTAATCAAGACAGTACAGTATTGGTATAAAAACAGGCACAGAGGTCAATGGAACAGAATTAAGAGCCCAGAAATAAACTCACACATATATAATCAATTAATTTACGACAAAGGAGCCAAGAACATACAATGGAGAAAGGATAGTCTCTTCAATAAATGGTGTCGGGAAAACTGGACAGCCACATGCAAAAGAAGGAAACTAGACTGCTATCTTACACCATACACAAAAATTAACTCAAACTGGATTAAAGACATGTTAAGATCTGAAAACATAAAATTGCTGAAGGAAAACAGGCGGTGAGCTTCCTGACATGGGTCTTAGTGATGTTTTTGTGGATAAGGCTCCCAAGGCAAGGGAAACAAAAGAAAAAATAAACTAATGGGACTATATCAAACTAAAAAGCTTTTGCATAGCAAAGGAAACCATCAACAAAACAAAAAGGCAATCTACCGAATGGGAGAGGATATTTGCAAATCATATCTGACAAGGGGTTAATATCCAAAAACTATAAAGAACTCATACAACTCAACAACAAAAGAACAAACAACCTGATTAAAAAAGGGGCAGAGGATCTGAATACACATTTTCCCAAAGAAAACACACAGATGGCCAACAGACACATGAAAAGCCATGTTCAATATCACTAATTATTAGGAAAATGCAAATCAAAACCACAATGAGATATCATCTCACACCTATTAGAATGGCTATTATCAAAAAGACAAGAAATGAGAAGTGTTGGAGAGGATGTGGAGAAAAGGGAATTCTTATACACAGTTGGTGGGAGTGTGAATTGGTGCAGCCACTATGGAAAACAGTACTGAGATTTCTCAAAAAATTAAGAATAGAACTACCATATGATCCAGCAATTCCACTTCTGGGTATCTATCTGAAGAATACAAAAACAGTAATTCAAAAAGATATATGGACCCCTACGTTCACTTCAGCATTATTTACAATAGCCAAGATATGGAAACAATCAAAGTGTCCGTTGAAGGATGAATAGATAAAGGTGTGGTATAGAATGAAATCTTGCCATTTGTGACAACATATATGGACCTGTATGGAGCACAATGAGGGCATCATGCTAAGTGACACAAGTCAGAGAGAGAAAGACAAATACTGTATGATTTCACTCATGTGGAATCTAAAAGAAAAACAGAACAAATGAACACACAAAACCAAAAAACGACAAACTCATAGATACAGAGGACAGACTGGTGGTTACCAGAGGAAAATGGAGTTGGAGGGTGGGTGAAACGGTGAAGGCCTTCAATCGTCTGGTGAAAGACGGTAACTAGACTTTTGCTGCTGATCACTTTGTACTGTGCACAGATGTTGAATTATAAGGTTGTACACCTGAAACTTACATAAGGTTTTATACCAATTTTACCGGTAAGAAAAGAAAAATTACTATGACTTTTTCATCAATTTCTGAAAACACAGTTCATCAGTTGCCAAAAGCAAAGTTCGAATGTTTTAGTCATTTTTTCCTTTCAATGACACAATATAGGCTATTGACAGAATGTTTAAAATCCATATTCTGAGTGGTTTATATTAAGAAATGCTTTGTCAAACTGCACATGACACTTGGGAAATCACTCTCACCTTTACGATGTCTGGGTTATTGGCCAGTTTCAGTACCTTGCAGGCCTTCGCTAATCCAATTCCACGCAGTGAGGAGAGATAGTCACAGCCTGAAAGAATGCACATGTAACGGAACTTCTCTTCTGTGAACACATCCCCAAGCTGTTTGCACATTCCCAGCCGAGCCTGATCAATTTCTAGTCCATTTCCACAGTGGTCCATTTTTAAAATCACCTTAGAAAGGAAGGAAAATTGTTAATGCCTGTAAGTGCCATTTTTATTTTTCCTTATCTAATCCATTACAATGTTTCTAAGAAATCTTTTTCGCTCTTCATCATAACACTGAGAGAAAAGAGAGATAGGCCGGCCAGCTGATTGTGAAATGTGCAAGTAAATTAAACTGAAGCATAGGCTATGACTGGACAAGGTCATATGCCAGGACTCGATAGTCCTAACTCTGTACCTCTTCACTTTGTACCTATACTACAGGGTTGTCGTGGCAATCAAATAGCAATTCATACAAAAAGCACTTTCAGGGGCTGGCCGCATTGCCGAGTGCTTCAAGTTCCGCATGCTCCCCTTCAGCGGCCAGGATTCACGGGTTTGGATCCCAGTTGCGGACCTACTCCACTCATCAGCCATACTGTGGAGGCATCCCACATGCAAAATAGAGGAAGGCTGCCACGGATGTTAGCTCAGGGCTGCTCTTCCTCACCGAAAAAAAAAACAAGGAGAAAGATTGGCAGCAGATGTTAGCTCAGGGCTGCTCTTCCTCACCAAAAAAAAAACAAGGAGGAAGATCGGCAGCAGACGTTAGCTCAGGGCTGATCTTCCTCATGGGGGTGGGGGGCATTTTCTCCTTACCTTCCACTTTTACATTTTAAAGTAACCTAGTAACACATGTTCTAAGTAGCTCTAAGGACTCTAAGTCCTAAAGTAACACATGTTCATTGCAGAAAATTTGGAAAACATAGAAACTCAGGAAGAAGAAAACAGAAGTTGCCCGAAATCTCCCATCTATCACTGTTACCTAGTATTAACATTTTGACAAAGATTCTTCTAGTCATCTATGAAATAAATAGATAATATAAATAACATAGGTATTAACAAAAATGAGATCATCCTATAGTTTTGTATCTTAATTTCCCTCCTTAATATATCATGATAAAATTTTCCATTAGTTTTATACACAATCCCCTTAGTAGATAAGTTAGTTTATTTACCTAACCTAATTGAAAAATATAAAGCATATAAGTTATCATTGTTAAACAATGAGACTACATTCTCCTAAAGAATTTGGACAAAACAACAAAACTCTCTAACCTTAAGGGCTTACTCTGAAAAAGCGTCCAGATTACACAAATGTCAAGCAGCAAAACCCTTCTTTTTATTTTAAATAAAATAATTACTAACACTGTAAGTAGATATTAATTTCAGGTATTAAATAAAATAAAATTATTATCCCTGGAGAGGAAAAAGCTTTAGCTGCCTGATTTACACTATTTCCATCCACATAGACAAGTAGTATGTAGCCGGTATAAAGTACCTTCTTACAGCCGAAAGCAAGGAGATCCGAGTCCTCGGTGATGATGGCTTGTACGATGCCAGCCTTGTTAAGATAGGCCAACTGTGCATCCGCTTCATACGGGGCCACGAGACAGTCTACGCCCAGAGACCGAGCAGCCTGTGACAGAGGGTCCCAGTCAATCTCCAGAACAGCGTCTCCAAAGCACTAAACGACTTCCTGTCTCAAACCCATTTTATTACCAGCCTCAACACGCACATGCTGATATCATTTTGGGAAATCATTTCCTTTGAAGTAAGTTTTTCTACTTTTAGTCCTAGGATATATTGAACTAATCAAATAGCAACTCAGAAATCTTTTTTAAAAAATCAATTTATAAATTTGGAGAAAAGAAATATTGCTATACATTCAGAAGGGAAAAACAAAAACCTACGATCTACAAAGCTTAATTACTTCAAATTCTAGAAAGCTTCCATCTTAAGAATAGTTACGCTTCGAAACTATACAAAACATTTGTGTGGATATAATATTTGAATATATTTTCCCCATAAAAATAACAGGTTCTCTTATCAGACTAGAAAAGTCTATCTGACACTGCATTGATAAAACTACAGAATCTAATCATTATTATTTATTTTCCCATTTGTTTACCACACAGTTTGAACACAGGCCCAGAAAAGGGGAAGTGAGGGCTGGGACTGTGGGCACGGTGACACTAAGATTTACGATGAGAAGGAAAGAAGCTTGTAAGCAGAAGCAGACTAAGGAGACTAGCAGCGTGCAGAGTTGCTGAGTCAGCGAGGTGGGCTCAACAGTCATTGCAGAGAGAAGGTTACAGTAGGCGTTGAAGACCATATGAGAGTGGGGTGAGACCGAACCTCCAGGAATTTCTCTCTCCCATCTCTAGGGAGCAACACGCTGTATGACATGATGGAGTTTATCTACCTAAGTGTCTTATCTGAAAAGGAGAGCTTCTCTTACTCCTTAGAGTGTCTCCCTTAAAAACTCTTCGCCTCCTCTCCTCTATCTAAAGACACCGCTCCCTTCTTCCTCTGACATCTGTCCCTTCCTGGAGGTTGGGCCTAGAATAATTTTCCCCCCATCATTTTCTTGCTCTCCCGTTAGTAAACAACTTATAACGAGCTTCAGTGAACTTAGCCATTTGCTACCCTGGCTGTATTTCCTATTCGGCTTACTTTAATGACTTTGTGGGCCATAGCATGCGTGATGTTGACAGAACGGGTAAAACATTCTCTGGCTTCTGAGACTTTCCCCTCGCGAAGAAGCTGCTTTCCTTTGAGAAGACTGGCTTGTCGTCTTCTGCAAGGGAAAAAAAACTTAAGAGGCTGACTCAAGAAACTGTAATAAAACTGTAATTCAAGATATTTTCCAAGAATAAAAAAAGCCCAACGCATTTGAAAGCACAGACCAGGTCCTTGAGAATGTTAACCCAGATCTTTTGGGCTCCTAGGCAAAAAGAACAAGTGATTTATAATGCACGCACATGTAAGCTTATCATCAGACTTTCCCACAGCAATGTTGTTATGTCAACAGAAAGTGGAGTAACTAAGACACTTAGGAAAACGTGAGTCAAGGCTTTCACATCATCAAAGCTAAGTATCAAGTGTAAAGGGCGGAACTTGATCAACATACAAGGAGCTTGAGAAATAGTGCTTCTGAGAGCTTTTCTGTGGAATCTACTAGAGAACAGACTTCCAAAAAACCAAAAAGACATGACAGAGACATTGACAAAAGGACTGCTAATAACCATCAAACATACAGTAATTTGTAGAATCAAGGCTAAGGTTCAACAGGGAGAGAGCAACAGCTGTGTGCTCTGAGAATCTCGTACCACTATTTTTAAAACGGGGAGAGTGCATACATGAAAGAAAGAAATTTTTTATTCGGAATCTATTGTTGAGTATAATGTGGGATAAAATAAATGAGTAATTATAAAATACTCTAAATTTTTCATGCCCTGTACCCTTGAACACCAGGATTCTCAGTATGGACGACAGCAGACACGGATGCAATACAGAAGGAGTTAAGTAAAAACCCCATAGTCCTGAATTTGAATTGGAAGTATCAGTCTGAACTCAAGAGTTTAAGTACACACGCATATACGTAGAGCCACAAATTTCCTGGTTCCACTTTTAGATGAAGAGACTCTGTAGAAAAGGATTTTAAGTGCTTTTCACTGCTACAGTGGCACAGAGAGCTGATCCTACAGAGGTAAGCCAGAAAGAGCCTCAGGTCAGAGACAGGCGGCTGAAACACTATTTAGCCGCGCACGAGATCAGCAGGAGAAAATTAATCACTACGTGTGATTAGAATTAAGAACATGGTGGGGGACCCCCAGGTGGGATATGGTTTGGACTAGTCCCTTAGCCACACTGGTTTAGGGTTGTCACCAATCCTTCTAGGACTAACCTGGAATTAACTAACTTTTTATTAAAAGAATGTTGGGTGAACTGTATATTACTCGGATTAGAATGTGGGCCCTAACGGTCTCAGTTAATCCTTTAACAAACTTTATAAAGTTCTGACTTTAAGAATCAGAGCCCTCTAAGCACAGCTAGACTGAAAAACCCGTCCCTGAACGACCCTCTCTAACCTGATTCTAGGCCCAGAGAGAGCAAAACCAGGCAAGCGGCACCCCCCACAAAATGCTCCCTCAGTGAGGTTTCTTCCATTTGGATATAACTTATAACTTACACTCCCCTTGACAACTAAGCCCAGTGGCCTTTCCTACACAACACAATGACTCCTGGACCTAAAAACCAATATAGGGGAAAAATAAGAACAGATAAATGTGGTGGAATAGCTGCTTCAACAAAATAGAGTAATTCTCTCTAAGGTCCATTGTTGTAAAATTACTAGATTCTGTTAAGTTAAATACGAATGAAAAAATTTCTAATATAACTACTAGAAGAACAGAAATAGAGTGCATCACTTTTCAACTAGAAACAATGTCAGAGTGGAAAAAACAATCAATCCAGAAGTCAAGCAGGGTAGGAGTTAACAAAAGAAAGAGCAGGACAAATACAAAATATGAAGTAGGAAATAATGGATCAAAATATATTAGTAATTAATGATCAATGTAAAAGGAATAAAACTCTCCATTTAAAAGAATTTTAAAAATGGCAAGGGCTGATAGAAGAGATAAAAAAATACAGTGATGTGTTCCTTACAAGAGACAAACCGAAAAATCAATGACATAGTAAAGGTGAAGGTAAATAGAAAAAGACATTAAGAACATACAAAAGTTGTTCCGGCTGTACTAATATCAGACAGAACAGACCTCAGAACAGAAAAGCATAACTAGAGACTAAAAGAGTTACTACATATTGTTTCAATTTACCACAAAATACAACAAATTCTAAACTTGAATGGAACCAATAATAATTTCAAAATAAACAAAGCAAAAAAATGGATAGAACCAGGGGCCGGCCCGGTGGCGCAAGCAGTTCAGTGCGCGTGCTCCCCTGCGGCGGCCCGGGGTTTGCTGGTTCGGATCCCGGGCGCGCACCAACGCACCGCTTGGTAAGCCATGCTGTGGCAGCGTCCCATATAAAGTAGAGGAAGATGGGCACGGATGTTGGCCCAGGGCCAGTCTGCCTTAGCAAAAAAGAGGAGGATTGGCATCGCATGTTAGCACAGGGCTGGTCTTCCTCACAAAAAAAAAAAGGATAGAACCACAAGGTAACTGACAAATCCACTATCATAGTGAAATTGTAACACTTTTCTCAATAATTAATGGATTTAGTAGACATACATAAAAAAACAAAAAACCAGTAAGAATATGGAAGATTTGAATACCACAATCAACAAGTTTGATTTACTGGACACACATAAAAATCACTCAAAATACACATTCCTTTCTAGCATACATGGCACATTTAAGGAAATTTATTCATGTGCTAGGCTATAACACAAGTTTTAACAAACTAAATTTTAAACAATTGGTATCACACAGACCATTGTGTCAGACCTTAATGGAATTAAGTTAGAAATTAAATAGAGAATCGACTTACTCTCTTCTGGACTTCTCTACCTCCTTTTTAGAAGGTAACATACATCCATCAAACACGAGAATAGGCTTGATCCCGTGAGTTAGTAACATATTTACAAATTTCATACAAAATCCCACATACCTGTGAAAATAAAGAAAAATGCATTTAAGTGCTCATGAGGTAATATCTTTGCTTTTTTTAAAACCAGATAAGACAAATAATGAAAAGAGAAGATTTTTATTTTGTTTTTTAAGCAAATGTTTTCATAGGAAATGAAAACTCTGATTTAGACTTGGGCTCAAGGCCTGCCTTTGATCCTAATGGGCTATGTGATATCTGATGAGTTATTTGACCCTCCAAAACCCACTTTCCTCATCTGTCGATTAAAAGATCTTGACATCCCTTCCAGTTCAGAAATTCTGGGGTTCCAAATCTTGCCTTTTCCCCCCATTTTTCTTTGCTTTGAAAAATTTCAAATCTACACAAAAGTTGAAAGATAGTACAATAAATACCTGATTCCCCCAACAATATCATTATCACACTCAAGAAATTTAACAGCAATAAAACATCATCTAATATACAGTCTATATTAAATTTTGTCCAATTGCCCCAATGTTTCTTATAACCAGTGGTGTCCTGGTAAACGTTTAACACCCAGTTCTGGGGGAAGGGGTCCCTGCTCTGTACCATTTGTCAATTTCCCTGACGTGTGAATATTCTACAGTGGTGGATACACTACCAACGTGGGGTCACTGGATGCTGAACTGGGAGGAGATGGGGTAGCAAACTCCTATGAGTCGGCTCCCGCACAGCACGGCTACAATTTTTTCCCCAGTCCAGGATCCGAACAAGCATCACAGATTGCATTTCGTCTTTCATTCTGGCAAGGCAATTAACAAAAATAGCTATGTTTACAACTTCCATCATTTCATAAAGAAAAGGTTATCTTAACTCAAAAATAGGAATGGAAAGACACCATCTTAAAAGATAACCTTTTTTTTTTTTTTTTTGCAAGGAAGATCAGCCCTGAGCTAACATCCATGCCAATCCTCTTCTTTTTACTCAGGAAGACTGACCCTGGGCTAACATCTGTGCCCATCTTCCTCTACTTTCTTTTTACATGGGACGCCGCCACAGCATGGCCTGACAAGCAGTGCATCGGTACGCGCCTGGGATCCGAACTCGGGCCGCCAGCAGCGGAGCGTGCGCACTTAACCACTACACCACGGGGACAGCCCCTAAAAGATAATCTTTTAAATCAAATATATTCATCTTAAGAAAAGACTCATTACGTTGTCCTTCTTTTCCTTTTTACTGTAAACCAGTGACAATGAACCTGCATTGGTCTACAGAACAATGACTAGGACCTACTGACGAAGCATCAAGTAAAAATAGGAGAAAACAAATATAAAATTATAATAAATTTTAAAGGAAATTTTTTTTTCAACTTGACAGAATACACAGTCAGACACCTGGCGCCCTCATTTTATATACTTCACAGACATTTTTCCAGGTCAGCACATATACATCCAACTCATTCCTTATAATGATCATAAAGGTTTATTATAGGCTTATCCAAACTTTCTGACCTTTTCTGGTTAATATCCCCAACCAAATGTGGACAAGAAAAAGAAAAAAACTCTACCAAATGTGACTTTTTAGTTTCTATGGGGAAAAAAATTAAAATACACAATATTTGTTGAAAGTTTTGAAACTTTTTAGTTCACTTAACATTTGCTGAGCGCCTACTACATGGCAGGTCTTGTGGAGTTCATCTCTGACATCTCTAGCAATAAAGGATAGTCCCTGTGTTTTGCACAACTCTTCAATTAGTCAAAAATCTCAGAATCGTCAAGACTCACAAAACACTAGAGATAAAGTTCTCCCCCCATGAAGAAATATTCAAAGAAACACTGAAAGTAGCAATGAAAAACTTGTGGTCTTCATCTACAATTGTAACTGCACAAATTTAGTGGTGGAAAAGAAATTGCTTTCAATACATGATCTCAGGGGGCCAGCCCAGTGGCACAGTAGTTAAGTTCACATGCTCCACTTCAGAGGCCCGGGGTTCACGGGTTCGGATCCTGGGCGTGGACATACACACCACGCATCAAACCATGCTGTAGCGGCATCCCACATACAAAATAGAGGAAGATGGGCACAGATGTTAGCTCAGGGCTAGTCTTCCTCACCAAAAAAAAAAAAAAAGTTTATCTTAGATAAAGAATAAAGGAGACAGTCTTCGGTCTTTGTCCATCGGTGTCCTGATACCCCGGCTTATTACAAAGAATGAAAACCAGGCCTGTACCACAGACGGAAGTCATCCCTGATTTGGCAATGTTCTAAAACACGCACTCTCGCTTCTTCATAAACCTGGCATTGAATGAAAAAGATCCCCTGTCTGAAAAAAAGGCATTATAAGTCTCATTTTTAATTGGCAAGGAATTAACATAAGGTGCAAACTTACTTATCGGTAGGTTCACCTCTGGCGAGTTTTTCAGCACAAGCGATAGCTCCTTTGTGAAGCCAGCAATACGTATCCACGGCCACCACCTGCCCTTTATACTTCCTCACGTGGATGGGTTCAGAGGCTTCTTTGATAAACTGCAGTAACCCATGTATCCCCATGGTGCCAAGTTCACTACGTGCTGGGAAAGGAGAAAGGGAAAACAGCAATATTTACAGCAAAATCTATTTACCCAAAAGTTTTAGAAAAATAAAGAAAACAGCTTGGAAACTGGGATAACAACTGTTACCGTTTGGCTATTTGAGAATCACTGCTCTTTAAATTTTTACCTGAGCTCCTCCTAACAATTTTCAGTCTAGAATATTTACACTAATCACTACTACTATCTCTAATGCCACTTGATAGTTCGTTAACGCTTATTCTTTCCCAAGTGCTTTCCCACTTGGAATCATCCTGTATGCTCCAAGCCTTAACACAGTACTAGTCACACAGGAGACACTAAAAAAAGTATGAGTCCATCTTCTCTCCAAAAAGGAATTGTTAAAATCTACCAAATTATGTATCATACTGCGTCTACACAGGCATTATCAGAGCCAACATGAAAATCAGCACAGGAGTGGAAACTGGAACACTCTGTAGGAAGGTAGGCATTTCAATTGAAAAACAATCAAACAGAATTATAGAAGTAGAGCTGTACTTTCTCAGGACTGAAATTCACTGCCATCAGAATGCACTATTCCAAGCAATGAACATTCTGTTAGTAAGCAGTGGTGGTCCCTGGGAACGACTCCATCAGACCCTCTGAAAGCTACACCAAAGAAATGTGAAACTGTGCCTGTGGTGCAAACGGGGCTTCAAGACAAATGCTTTAACCTCCCACCCCCTTCCAACCAGGTTGCAGCTCCTAAGCCCTTTCTATACAGAAATTGCGGGGCTGCCATGGTCCTTTCTGAAGCACCTGCTCCCCTCCCCGCCAAGGGAAGAAAGCAGAGGATCAGAAGTCAGCCTTACCCTGTGGACACCGTATCAACCCTCTGACGCTCTAGTCCAGCAGTTCTCAAATTTCAGCAGTTCGCAGATTCTCAACTCCACTCCTAGGGACTGTGATTCACCACTTCTGGAGGGAGGTGGGGGATTCTGAATTTTAAACACGGCAGGTCATCTGGACGCAGATGGTCCTCAACCCACAGTTTGAGAAAAACAACTACTCTCCTATCTTTCAGATAACGTCCCTAAAAAGAGTTTTCTTTCACTCAGCGGAAAACTGACATAATGTACATTTCATGAAACTTATATAAGTTTCTTCTAAGCCGGATAAACAGCCTTGAATAAATATTTCCTCTCCAGCATAGTAAGAATGACTGAGGACCACAGGGCACAGGTCATCTCAAGGAGACCACCTGGCGCACCCGAGGTCACAGGAACAGCGGCAGCTTCCCCACTTCACGCCTCTGGCCCACGGGGAGGTGCAGGGGCGGCCTGCGACCCCATTCCAGAAGACACGTGTCCTTTGGCCTGCACATTAACAACAACATGTACTTGTCAACATTTAAAAATTGGGAGATTGCACGTAAAAACGGGACTGCTAGCTTCTGCAGAAAACCTGCAGGAGCGCGACCCCCGGGCCCTGCTCCCTCTGGGCACCGTCCGCAGGGAGCCGACCCGCCGTCGGTTCGCCGAACTGCAGCCCCGGCCGGGCCGGGCACGCTCCCTCGGAACCGAGCTCCCCACCACGCCACCAACTCCGCCCCGGCAGCGCCCCGGCCCCGACGCAGGGTCGGGGACCACGGCGGACGCGCCCTTCCCTCCCTGGAAGACCCCGCACCCCGGGACCAGGGCGGGGAGACCAGCAGCACCCCCCAGGCTCCGCGCAGCCCGCTCCGCTCACTTTCCGGCGAGGGCTGTCGCTGTCAGCTCCAGGGCAGCCGGGTGGAGGCTCCCGACACCGCCCCCCGCGCCCCCCGACTCCCTCCGGCCCGACCACGCCGGGCGCCAGCCGCCGACCAAGTGCCAGACCTTTCAATTTGCGCGGGAGAGCCCGCGGCCCGCCCAGCGGAAGTGACGTCAGAGTGCACTTCCGCCACGCGCCACTGCCTCCCGCGGCCTCCCGCTTCCTGGGCCCGATCACCAACCTGGCGGGTCGCGACAGTGGCCCGCGGCCCTGCGACTCCGGCCGCTGCCGGCCGCCGGAACCCCGTACGGCCTCTTGAGGGGGCGCTGCCGGCCCACAGGCAGCGGCGCACGGCACGCTGGCAGCCGCCGCCGGGGCTGCTGGGAGTTGTAGTTCCTCCTGACCGCAGCCGCAGTTCCCGGGCTAAAGTTTAAAGAGCGCCGCCGCGCGTTTGTGTGGAGGGTTTAAAACCTGAGACAGGATGCGGGCTGGAGTTGGTCTCCTCGTGGTTGTGTAGAGCTGCTCACCCCACGGTGCAAAGACAGGGAAACAGGAGGGGCAGCTTGAGTTATAGTCTCCTTGGGGATACTGCAGACTGTAGACTTTGGGAAGGAGAGAGGGGCGCTCAGGGAATAATTAGCTAAGTGATGAAGATGCTCTCCTTGACAGAACTGGAGCCGATCTCCCCCGAGCCCTCCTCTCACCCAGGCTTGGACAGACTTGAACAAAACACTCACGTGGTTCCGAACATCTCAAGGCCGCATCCCCAGGACGACCCTGGCCCCTGACAGCGCCGGCCTGGGAAAGCTCCAGGCTGCTGGAAGAGGCCCCTGTCTGTCCCAGCCAGCACCTGGAGACAAGCTCTCTGTCTCCCCGCCTCTGTAGGGGGGTTAAGCTCGGGTTAGCGATCCCAGGGGGGTCTCGCCAACTCTCCCTTCCCACTTTCTGTAATTTTTCACTTCCCTGGCTCTGCTGAGCCCACATTGACCCCTCCCTGTTCCCTCTTTCTCTCTTTAAGCCGCCCAGTCACGTCTGCACAAGTCGGAGTTGAGTCAGTTCACAGTGGACTCTTTTCCCTATTGCGGTAGTATTACTGATTAAAATCAGTCCTCACCACTTTACCTAGTATCCAGCTTTCTTCATCTTTGACATAAGTCAGGGGAAACTTCACAGCCAATCATGAAAATGGGCCTTCTGGTGCACAGATTTTAAAGACGTTCTGGACTTTGTTGGCCACTTGGGGCTAGGCTTCTAGTCTAGTAACACTCTAGACCTGGGTGCTGTCCTCTTAGGGGTCTTGTGCTGAGAGGTCAGGGAAGAACCTTCCTTAGACCAGACCACAAAGTATGTTCTGGGGGCAGAGATGGGCAGGAATGATAATTCAGACTCAGTTGAAGGAGCTGAAGGGAAAGAAGTGGGCACATTTTAAAAAATGCTCCCTGTTTGACTACCTTCCCTACGTTTCTCTCATGCTTGTTTTAAAGTCTTTTTACAGTCGGTCTAACATCTGTCATGCCAACTTATCACCTTAAAAATTGTTGACAAAGTGCCACTTTGGAGGAATGTGCTCAGTGAGACCAGGGCTGCCTCCTCCCCAGTTCTAGTCATTCTTTATTTTTTTTTAATCACAGCTTTATTGAGGTATAATTTGTATGCAAAGAATTGCATATATTTAATGTGTACAATTTGAGGTGTTTGAACATATCTGAACACCTCTGATAACATGACCACAATCAAGGTAATAGACATATCTGATACCTCCCAGAGTTTCCTTGTATCCCTTTGGTTTTTGTGTGTTTGTTATGGTAAGAACACTTAACATGAGATCTGCCCTCTTAAGTTTTAAAGTGTACAAGACAGTATTATTAACTAGGTATAGTATTGTATAGCAGATCTCTAGAACTTATTCATCTTGCTTAATTGAAACTTTATGCCCGCTGACTAGCAACTTCCTCTTTCTCCCCCTCCCTAGCCCCTGGCAACCATCATTCTACTCTTTGATTCTATGAATTTGACTCTTTTAGGTACCTCGTATAAGAGGAATCACACGGTATTTGTTTTTCTGCGACTGGCTTGTTTAACAGCATAATGTCCTCAAGATTCATCCATGTTGTTACAGATTGCTTGCTAAGAGATACTAGACTCCCATGTTCACTGCAGCACCATTCACAATAGCAAGATGTGGGAACAACCCAGATGTCCATCAACAGATGAATGGATAACAAAAATGTCATATATACATACAATAGAATACTATTCAGCCTTAAAAGGAAGGAACTTCCATGTTCATTAATTTCGTTGTGTAAGAGTTTACCTTTATACTCTTAGGGGAAGTGTGGTGTGGTAGGTCTACCATTCTCTGAGTGACCTGTTGTCAGCTTTATATGACTACAGTAAATAAGTTTTATAATTCTCAACATCATACTTTTTCATGATTCCTGCTTCTGTCTTTACCACTTAGTTAAAACATGCCAGCTGGACACAAGGCCCAATCCCTCCAGGGTTTTCCCTCAAGTCCTTGGATCTGCTCACACCAAACATATCAGGTGTTGAGTCACATGAGGGAAGATTTGATGGGTCACAGGAGAGGCTATGGTGAGCATGGCTTCACTTCCTGCCATCTCACCAGCACCCCCTCTTCACCCTCAGCACCTTCCCCGCAGGCCACCCCCACCTCACCTCCCACCATAGGGAGCCCCTAGAATGAGTGGCCCCGTCCCTACTCAGCAAAACCCTCCTCAGAGATGGCATTCTTATAACAGCTGCAACAGAAATAACATTTCCTCTGTATCGTTATACTCATTCCCCACTTCTGGTCTTCAGAGATGAGGCTAGGAGAGGATATCAGAAAAGTTATCTTCCTTGTTCTTCCAACTCTGTTAGACCTCATTCTGGACCATTTTGGAACTAACTGTAGGGGTAGGTGGGGGACAGTTCCAAATTACAGTAGGTTAAAGAGGAGCTTAAATGTGGGTGGGATGTGTTTGTAGAGAAGTGTTCTTATAGTCATTGGACTACCCAGCTGTAGTAACTGCTTCAATATGTCAGATCCAACCAAGAATATGCCACAGCTGTGGGGGGGGGTGTCTTAGGAAGGAACCCAAACATCAGAAAGGTGCCCATTCCAGCCACACTGAATCCATCGTGAAACTAACATAGGAGGTTGCTGCATTACAAACAGCCCAGATCTTTACTACTAATCTGACTCCCCAGGTTCCAAACTGCCTTCTTAGCTACAGTGTTTGAAGACTGAAACTAAAAAAGAAAACACCAGTTAAGAATTAT